TGTGACAGTCCCCTCCCCCCCCCCCCCCCCCCCCCAGTCGTCAGAAATGGTTATCTCTGGCCGTTCCACTCGCCAGCCATGGCGAACGTCTGTCAGGCTGGGTTACTGGCGCTAAATATGGAGGACGGAGCGGAACGGCGTAAAAAATGTGCTGATTAGCCGTGGTTATGCCCTGGCCCTCAGGCTCCGCCCGCGTCGGGCGTGTCACGTGACCGGAGGCCCCGAGCGCCCCCCCGCAATCAGCGCGTGAGCCGGCGTTGGAGATGATGGCGGGGCGGAGCCGGCGAGCTTTAATCAGGCGGATCTCGCCACGCGAGCTAAGAGGGGCCCTCTGATTAAAACGCCCGCTTGTTGGGACACAAGAGTGTCTTTTCAGTGCCGTATTCCGTAAAAAAAAATTACTGTCAGTCATCGGCAATCAGCGCCGAAAGTCTGCATTGCGGCTAATCAAGGGACGTAAACGAGTAAATAAAGGAGCCCACTGGGTACGGGGGGGGCGGGTGGGTAGGCCAGCGGGTAGGGATGCCAGGCCACACGGGTTTGGGGTTGGTCAGTCCCCCCCCCACCTCCCCGCCCCGGACCCTCTGCCTGTTGATCAAGGTCGGCGCCCTGCTTTGGTTCTGCTGTCTTTGGGAGAACTGCAGCTTGAATTTTTTATTTTTTTTTTAATTAGGATTTTTTTTCGACTGCGCATCTAATGGAAGATCTTAATGAGATCTGCCGCGCGGCCAGCGGAGTGGAGATGGGGGGCGGGCGGGGGGGGCACTCTGGCTTGCACCGTGTCTCTGTCAGGCGCCGCCACTCAATTCGGTGACACATTTTATGTATCCTGTGTTTTATATTTTTTCGGAAATATTTAACTATTTAGCCTCTGGATTGCTGGATAGCAGTGCTCAGCAGCGCCTCCTTGTGCTAGAAATGGGTCACGCGGGCCTGGTGACTCCTAGCTGGGTGCACGGTAACCCCCCCCCCCCCCCCCCCCCATCCCAGAATGCACCTGTGCCCTTGCGTAGCCGTTTCTGTTTTATCAGCAGCTTGCAGCCAGAGTGAGGCGGACTTGGCCCATTACGGGTCCAGCTGAACGGCATCCTTCACTACCGCCGCTGACAGCTGACATTCTCGCTGCGGGGAGCACGGCGCAAATTACCCTGTGTGGGGGGGGGGGGCGGCCTGGAATGAGGGAAGCATCAGGCTCTGGGCCTACACACACACACACACACACACACACACACTCCCATTCTGATTCCTCAGCTCCTCTTCAATGGCTCCCATCCCTCTCTCACTCCGCACATGGTTGAGATTTTAAGCCTTGTTTTTCTTTCTTATTCACTAATTATATATTAATTACTTATGTTTACTTATACATTTCCTGTGCCCCTGCCCTCCTCATTGTCCTACCAGCACAGTTTGTCCGATTAACACACCCAACTGGAACCTCTTAACTGTCTCCCCCCCCCCCCACCAATGAGAAGAGGCATGACAGTCAGGTGGTCGGCGCGAGGAGACGTGGTGCCTCCTGATCAGTAGTGGGTTTGCGGGCCCCTGTGTGTCTGATTGTCAGCGATTGTAGCGCTGTGCCTTTAAGAAGGAGGCGGGGCACAATGGGAACAGCAAGTGATGTGAGGAAGGGAGGGTCAGTGCATGCCGGTCACACTGCAAATGAAGCCACT